TTCTTCTTTTCCTAACTGAATACCCTTGATTTCTTTCTCTTGCCTGATTGCCCTAGCCAGAACTTCCAACACTATGTTGAATAGGAGTGGTGAGAGAGGGCATCCCTGTCTTGTGCCAGTTTTCAAAGGGAATTTTTCCAGTTTTTGCCCATTCAGTATGATATTGGCTGTGGGTTGGTCATAAATAGCTCTTATTATTTTGAGGTACGTTCCATCAATACCGAATTTATTGAGGGTTTTTAGCATGAAGGGCTGTTGAATTTTGTCAAAAGCCTTTTCTGCATCTATTGAGATAATCATGTGGTTCTTGTCTTTGGTTCTGTTTATATGCTGGATTATGTTTATTGATTTGCGAATGTTGAACCAGCCTTGCATCCCAGGGATGAAGCCCACTTGATCATGGTGGATAAGCTTTTTGATGTGCTGCTGAATCCAGTTTGCCAGTAGGCATGGACAAAGACTTCATGTCTAAAACACCAAAAGCAACGGCAGCAAAAGCCAAAATTGACAAATGGGATCTCATTAACTAAAGAGCTTCTGCACAGCAAAAGAAACTACCATCAGAGTGAACAGGCAACCTACAGAATGGGAGAAAATTTTTGCAATCTACTCATCTGACAAAGGGCTAATATCCAGAACCTACAAAGAACTCAAACAAATTTACAAGAAAAAAACAAACAACCCATCAAAAGTGGGCAAAGGATATGAACAGACATTTCTCAAAAGAAGACATTCATACAGCCAACAGACACATGAAAAAATGCTCATCATCACTGGCCATCAGAGAAATGCAAATCAAAACCACAATGAGATACCATCTCACACCAGTTAGAATGGCGATCATTAAAAAGTCAGGAAACAACAGGTGCTGGAGAGGCTGTGGAGAAATAGGAACACTTTTACACTGTTGGTGGGATTGTAAACTAGTTCAACCATTATGGAAAACAGTATGGCGATTCCTCAAGGATCTAGAACTAGAAGTACCATATGACCCAGCCATCCCATTACTGGGTATATACCCAAAGGATTATAAATCATGCTGCTATAAAGACACATGCACACGTATGTTCATTGCGGCACTATTCACAATAGCAAAGACTTGGAATCAACCCAAATGTCCATCAGTGACAGACTGGATTAAGAAAATGTGGCACATATACACCATGGAATACTATGCAGCCATAAAAAAGGATGAATTTGTGTCCTTTGTAAGGACATGGATGCAGCTGGAAACCATCATTCTTAGCAAACTATCACAAGAACAGAAAACCAAACACCGCATGTTCTCACTCATAGGTGGGAAATGAACAATGAGATCACTTGGACTTGGGAAGGGGAACATCACACACCAGGGCCTATCATGGGGAGGGGGGAGGGGGAGGGGGGAGGGATTGCATTGGGAGTTATACCTGATGTAAATGACGCGTTGATGGGTGCTGACGAGTTGATGGGTGCAGCACAGCAACATGGCACAAGTATACATATGTAACAAACCTGCACGTTATGCACATGTACCCTAGAACTTAAAGTATAGTAATAATAAAAAATAAAATAAATAAATAAATTAAAAATATATATATATTTTTTCCAAAACCCCACTCAAAACCAGGGTATTATTAGAGGTGTAATAGTTGGACCAAAATTGAAAATACATTCAGTTTAGTTCATGTGCTCTCAAATATACTTTTTTATTTTAAAATCGTTCTCAGTTGTAATATTACACGAAATATTAGTAATTTATACTAATGACACAGGTTATAATACTGTATACAAAATTTGGTGACATCTGATTGGAAAAAATACATGTTCTCCATATGTTGACTATTTTTTCCTTCTCTATGAAATGTATGACTTCCTGTATGTCTGGTCTAGCGTTGATGAGTTCCCTTAGTATTTGTTTGTCTGAGACATGCTTTATTTCTCCTTCATTTATGAAGCTTTGTCTAGCAGTGTAGAAAAAGTATTCTTGACACATTTTTTAATTTAAGAAGTTTGAAATCAGGACTCCAATCTCTTCTATCTGATCAGGTTTATGCTGATAAATACACCATTAGTGTAGTAAGATTTCTTATAGGTTATCAGAAACTTTTATTAATTTTAGAATTATTTTCTTCCTATTGACTTTAGATACTCTGACACTTATAGATAATGGTGACTTCTGTTTTCCAATGCAATGTTCTGGAGTTTTATGGGCCTCTTTTATCTGTATGTGTAAATCTCTAGAAAGACTAGGAATTGTTTTTCAATTATTTCCTCAAATAAGTTCTCCAAACTATTTACTTTTTTATTGATTCAGGAAAATCTATGACTCGGTGGTTCAGTTGTTTGACATAATCCTCTACTTTCCAGTGGGTTTATTTTTAATTTTTTTCTTTATCTTTATCTTACTGGGTTAAATTGAAATACCTGTCTTTAAGCTGTGATGCTTTCACCAAATTTAATATAGTCCATTGTTAAAATTTTAAGCTGTAAATTGTAATTAATCTGATATTTTTTTATTTCCACAGTTCATTTTAAAAAATCAACCTCTTAAGTAACTCCTAAATTGGTGTTCTGATTTTTGTGTGTTTGTTCCCAACTTACGATTGGATTTCATTGAGGTTTTTAAAAATCAGTGTTTTTAATTCTTTAACTGAGAGTTCAAATATATTATTTTGTGTAGAGTCTTATTGCTGGAGAGTTAATAGGATTTGGCAGGGGGTGTTGTAACACTCTGTTTTTTATATACGTCCAGAAGTGTTTCTCTGTTTCTTTCTCATAGGATAAATTCTCTCTTCCCATGATTTTTGAATTTACTTTAGTTTTAATGAAAACTATTTTCCCCTTTAGAATACAAACACAATGTATATTGTGTGGGTCTTTTGATTTTGATTCTTGGTTTTCTCAATGGTAAAGACTCTGTAAGAGTTCCTTGCCTATAGACAGCCTTTATTTCGTGGCTTTCTGAAATGATGTTTGTAGTAATGATACTGGGCCTGTGAGCAGGCTCACTGCCTCCTGCAGGGCTCAGATAGTGGAGGCATCAGGGCTCAGACGGTGGAGGCATAAGGAAGCATTTCTAATTTCCCAGTGGTATGCGTTTGTGTCAGCAGATTTTGTATTACATTGTGCAGTTCAACCTTCAAGTTAGTAGGTGGTCCTTACAGAGATGAGCTAACTATGGCAGAAGAATATGAGTACATGTTTGATATCTGTGTAGAGGGAGAAGCGTTCTACTACCTCAGGCAATGGACTGGCCTGTGGAAAGCATAGGGGCCTGAGTTCTCTGCTCATTTCCTGAGAGAGGGACAAAGCTGAACAGAGATAAACCTATTATCCTTGCAGGTTAAGTTCACTATCAAGTGTTATACACTTGTGATAGCAGATTTTGTATTAGATTTTACCCATCAACATCAGAACAGGACTGGTGCTTGCAGGTAAGACCCAGCTGTGATGGTAGTAAAAGTGTTTATGCTTTTTCAAAAAAATTACTTATAGTTTATTGTGAATATATTGTAAGTCTATGTAATTATGAGGTATAGGTGATACTTTGATATAGGCATGTGATGTGTAATAATCTCATCATAGTAAATGGAGTACCTGTCCCCTGAAGCATTTGTCTTTGGTGTTTCAAGAACTCCAATTACACTCTTTTAGTTGGTTAAACTGTAAAAATTAAATTATTATTGACTGTAATCACTTAGTTGTGCTATCAGCTGATGGTCTCATTCATTCTTTCTAAATTCATTTTGTACTCATTAACAGCCTACACTTTTTTCACATCTCCCCCGTTATCTCCCACAGCCTCAGAGAACCATCCTTCTACTCTCCAACTCTATGAGTTCAATGATTTTCTTTCCATGAAATATAATTATTTATTCTGTTCTGTGTATTAGCATATCCTAGCAATCCTGTACACACCTACATAGATGTCTATAAGCCTATGAATTATTCTCTGTAAATAAAAATTTATCTGATGGAGATAGATTATTTATTATATAATTCACCAAACTAATGTCAAATGCCCAAGCTGCAATACCGCAAACTCTAAGGTATGTTCATGCAATTCAATGAAGGAGAAAGTCTTTCAGACACAGGTGCACCTGAAATGATAAATATGTGGGTGAGGACTCTGGGCTTGAGTGTCATTGTCCAGCCATGTTTCAGAAGTGTGACCTGTCAGGGAAGAACCAGAGTTCCTTGTGCTCTCAGAGGGGAGGGCTCACAGATGTACTCTCTTGTTCCCAGGAAACGCAATTGCACTAATCTTGATGATGAGACTATGCTCCTGTGCTGACCTATTATAGTTTTTGACTGAAATTGTCACTGTGATCCCCAATCTACATCTATTCACACAGAAGTGTGTAATGGTCAGGCTACATTCTCAGCATCACACATTGAGACAGTTGGAGATACATTCCACTACCTTCTCCTGAGATTGCAGACAGAATCCCAAATTTCAAACGGTCACAAAAGGGAAGGTCTCAGATATCTTTTTTATGACGCACTCTGTGGGACAGATATATTCCCTCTAACCATGATGGATATTGTGAATTACCATAAAAATTGCATGGATGTAGGTTTGTATAAATTCACTGTAATGAGTATATTTAGCTGCTGCCCTAATGTTTTTGAATGGAGATTTGACAATTTAGATAATCTGGATGTTTGGTTGGTTTCATATAAATCTTCACGGGTAGAACAGCATTGAACCTACTGCAAAATCTATCCTTGATCCATGATCACACTCATCTCCCAGACCGGCTCCTTCAGCACATCTCCCTACCTGGAAGAAGAGGACTCTGGGCTTGTTGAGGGGAGGCCCCAGGAAAAGAACTGAGTTATCAGAGGGCACAGCCAGCATCCTCCTCTCAGGGTGAGCCCCAAAGACTGGGGCCTACCTCATCCCTTTTCACCTCTCCATACAAAGGCACCACCCACATGCAAATCCTTACTTAGGCACCCACAGGAAACCACCACACAGTTCCTTAAATTCAGGGTCCAGCTCACATGGGAAATGCTCTCTGAGAGTCACGGACCTCCTGTGCAAGAACATGAAGCACCTGTGGTTCTTCCTCCTCCTGGTGGCAGCTCCCAGATGTGAGTGTCTCGGGGATGCAGATATGACGATATGGGAGGCTGTCTCTGATCCCAGGGCTCACTGTGGGTCTCTCTGTTCACAGGGGTCCTGTCCCAGGTGCAGCTGCAGGAGTCGGGCCCAGGACTGGTGAAGCCTTCGGAGACCCTGTCCCTCACCTGCGCTGTCTCTGGTGGCTCCATCAGCAGTAACTACTGGAGCTGGATCCGCCAGCCCCCAGGGAAGGGACTGGAGTGGATTGGACGTATCTATGGTAGTAGTGGGAGCACCAGCTACAACCCCTCCCTCACGAGTCGAGTCACCATTTCAACAGACACGTCCAAGAACCAGTTCTCCCTGAAGCTGAGCTCTGTGACCGCCGCGGACACGGCCGTGTATTACTGTGCGAGAGACACAGTGAGGGGAGGAGGGTGTGAGCCCAGACACAAACCTCCCTGCAGGGAGGCGGAGGGGGCGGGCGCAGGTGCCGCTCAGGACCAGCAGGGGGCGCGCGGGGCCCACAGAGCAGGAGGCCGGGTCAGGAGCAGGTGCAGGGAGGGCGGGGCTTCCTCATCTGCTCAGTGCTCTCCCTCCTCACCAGCACCTCAGCTGTCCCCAGGGCTCCTCTTTCTTTGATATCTGTGGTTCTGCTTCCTCACATCCTTCTGCCAGAAAAGAAAGGAGGAAGGCACATTTTCCTCTTACAATAGAGGTTTCACCGATTACTAGGAACTTTCCTACAAGTTCCTGCATGGCCCATTATTCCTTAGTGATTAAAAAAATATATATTCTAATGCTTCTCACCATATCTTGGTTTGTGTCATCAATTGAATTGTTCCCTCTTTGAAATTCATATGCTGAAATCATAATTGTTAAATGAGTTTTATGTCACAGTCAAATAATAAGTAATATTTTTTCAAATGCTACCATTGCCACTAAACTCATCCAGGAGCTGAAATCTGCTCTGGGCACTGCCTTCTTCTCAAGCGTCCCACACTGCCGCTTGCTATAGAGGAGGAGGCATGAAAACAGGGCCCTCCCTCTCCTGGTGAAAACAAGCCCACTGCTGGCCCTGCAGTTCTAGATGAAGAGCCACAGCCCTGGCCTTCCCAGGGGTTTCCATTTGATAATCAGGACTGAATGCAGAGGACTCACTCTGTGGTTTGAGGTAGACGAATTTTCGTTGTTGGTATTTTAAAAGGTAACTCATAGAGAACTAGAGTGAGAGTGAGTGGATATGAGTGAGAGAAACAGTGGTTATGTTTGGCAGTTTCTGACCAGGATGTGTGCGTATTTTCAGGGGTTCAGTGTGAGGTGCAGCTGATTGAGTCCATAGAGGACCTGAGACAACCTGGGAAGTTCCTGAGACTCTCCTGTGTAGCCTCCGGATTCGCCTGCAGTAGCTACTGAATGAGCCAAGTTCACCAGTCTCCAGGGAAGGGGCTGGAGTGAGCAATAGATGTAAAATACGATGGAAGTCAGATATACCATGCAGGCTCTGTGAAGGGCAGATTCTCAATCTCCAACGACAATTCTAAGCACTTGCTGTATCTGCAAATGAATAGTCTGAGAGCTGAGGACATGGCCATGTATGGCTGTACATAAGGTCCCAAGTGAGGAAACATCAGTGTGAGTCCAGACACAAAACTTCCTGCAAAAAGAAGAAAGGAGTCTGGGCTGAAGGGGACAATCAGCACTCACAACCCAGGTGCAGCCCCAGGGCAGGTGCAGATGGAGGGAGAGCAAGGGCTGCTTTCCTTCAGTGTCTATGGTTTCCTCTGCTTCTAACATTTCCCCTCTGAGCCTCTGTACATTTATGTTCTGTGCCCACCAGGAGGTCCCTGGATTAGAAAACCAATTTAAAAGAGGAAACATTCTCATATGTCCTAAAAACAGAGGTAAATATTGGAGGCATAAAATGCATAGGTGGCCGTATGAGTCTGTAGACACTGTCACCCCACAATGCCAGACTCACAAGTAGTGCTGGAGAAGGGTGGGAGTTTGATGGAGCTTCCCTAATGACCCTGTGGTCCAAGTTAAGTCTAGCAAGGCCGTCGGTGCCTCCCACAGCACAGTTCTCCATCAGGGATCTCCCATGAGTCCCAGCAGCAGCCATGCCTTAGTGTCTCCACCAGGCACCATCACTCTCTGGGAGGATCTCCCAGGATGGGTGTCTTTGGCGCACACCAGGTGACGGGTGTTAAAGTGCAGGGCAGCAGCTGGCGGCCTGGGCTATTGGGCTCCCTGATGGAGGGATGAGAGGTGCATTCTCAGGGCCAGCACACTGTTTGTGGATTTTTATATAAAAACCAGGATTTTACTTCATTTTCTCAGATGACATAGATAATTACTAACAATCTGCAAACAATTGTAATTTTCAACTTTACCCCAAATTCATTGTTTCTTAATTCTGTGCAGGATGCAGACATGGTATTGCCTTCTCATGAGAAATTGTTCGATCTAAACTGAAACCAGTTGTTTCTCATATTCTTTGGTTTCTCCCCATGTGCAGAGATCTTGATTAGAGTAATTTTGGTATTTTCCCCACAATCACCCTCACCTCCCCAAATAAAGAGCAGAAATTCTGCTCACTCTGAGTCTGAGGGAGGAGCTGTTCCTGTACCACTCAGGGCCTGCAGAGACCCCCAGGTGCAGCTTCACTGAGTCAGGTGTTTCACTCCATGTGATTGCTGCTAAGGTCTAATTGTGGGCTCAGAATTAGGACAGTATTTAGGTTATCAGAGGTCAATCCTATTCTAAAAATCATCGTTATCACACATAGAGGTAATAATTCAATGTTCATTTTTCTAACAGCAGTTTATCTTTTTTATTTGATTGCAAGTTTGAGAAAAGAAACATGTGATAATTTTTTTTAATCTAACCTCAAAATCTACTGAACTGTTCTAGGAGACTGACAATTTGGGCAATATGAGCTCTTTATTCTAAAAAATATGTGTGTATTTGGGAATTTCACCATGTTGTCCAGAACCCGTTAACATCAACAACTGTGTTTCTCATGACACTTCTGGCTTGAGACAACGTCAGAGACCCTCTCCCTCACGTGCACTCTCTCTGGAGCCCCCGTCATAACCAGTGCTTCCTGCTAGAATTGTATCTGCCCCTAGAAGATGGACAGGAGTGGATCCGGTGCGAGGGTTGTGAAGGGAGCACAAATTACAACCCACTTCTCAAGAGTCCATATCCACATCCAAGAAACACTTCTTACAGCTGAGCTGTGTCCGGTGAACACACAACTATGCATTTTTAAGAAAAGACACAATGAGGGGACTTTATTGTGAGCCTGGACACAAACCTCAATGCAGGGGTGCATATGTCCAGCAGGGGGCACTCGGGCAGTACGGGAGCTTAGGATGATTGTCAGGGGTCAGGATGAGCAGGATCAAGGCTCAGCTTTGGGGCAGGTGCAACAGGGCAGAAAAGGGGCTGTAGATGTGGGTTGTTTTTACTATCATTTTTCACCACCAGACCCTCCACTACATCTTTTCTAATGTGTCTGAGTGTTCATATGATTAGAAAATGGCATTTATGTAAACACCAATATATACCCATATGGAGGTGCATCAAGTTGTCCTCTCCATCTTACATGGACCTTGTCCATCACGCACCAAGTCCCTGTGTTTACTTGAGTACCTCATACATTACGGTCCAAACAGGTGGGGTCTCTTTCTTTTTCTTAGTCTCTTCTCCTCCCTTTTCTCTCTGTCACACAAAAACACACAAACTGATAAATGCACAGAACTCCCCAACTTTGATTATCTGATATATTGAAGCACACGGATTAATGTCCAGCTTTTCCACTTTGCCTGCTACTCATGTTATTAAGAACCATGTGTTTCTCACCTGGTTACTTCTCTAAGCTAAGTAGCATCTTTGTTTATTATACCCAGAGACCAAAAGCGATCCAAGTATTAGTCAGCAGCTTAACTGGTAAACAAATTGTGGAAAATTCATTTATTGGAATAATACCCACTGTTACAATCAAGTACTGCCGGACACACTCAACACTATGCTTAAAGTAACAAGTACCTGAATAAGAAAAATAAGGCAAACAAATACAAGTGTATACATACAATTCCACTTCTATAATTCCTATAAAGTAAAAATGAACTTAAAGTTGCATAAAAACATCTGTAGTTAACTGTGGACATGGTACAAGAAGAGAAGGTGTAGAAAGGAGAAACTACAGGAGAGCAAAAGGAAATTTCTAGGATAATTTATTTTTTCTCTGTTAGGAAAAGTGAGGATTATGTCAATATTTATAAAATTGTACACTTTATGTAAAGATTCTTATTTGCTAATTTCACCTCTTTAAAATATTGCAAATTTTAAAATATGTAATTTGGTAGAAAAGGTGTTAGACATAAATAAAAAACATAAAAATTCAGAGACTCCTGAATATGCACATGAATGAACCCTGGGTCTCGCTATACTTTTAGGGAAACACTAGAATAAAAGAACATGATGACAGGATTTCAGTACATGAAGGGAGCTTCTCAAACCCCAGGAGGCACGTCCAACTGCATCCTGGAGTTAACTCAGGGAGCAGGCATGTCCTTTGGAAGGAGCCATGACACTGAGCTCCCAGCATCCGGTGTAGATGACACCATGCAAATGCCAAGAGATCTCGACTAAAGTGTTCTGTGGATGTTGAGTCTGATTATGCCACACACTCACACCAAGTGAGTATGGAAATGTTAGTTACCTGCCTCCTTGAGGAGTCTGCTGAGAGCAGGGCAGGTCTCTCATGAAGGTCCAATGTGTCTTGGTAGAGCGGGGAAGGAGACTAGCTCGGGGTTTTTATCATGGTTTTGTGGGGTGCGGCGGAGAGCATCCTACCTCCAGTAAGGATTTTGTGGGGTTTCAAGGTCAAATTGGCATCAAATGAGGGAGCTCCTGTGATTTCTAGGTAGATTTACTTTGTATGCTTTAAAAAAAAAGAGATGATGAAGGAAAGAGCCTTAAGTTATCAGCGGTCAGGCCTAAACATAGAGTCGTATGACTTACTCTAAATAGCAAGTGTACAAATGGTGAGTAAGAAAAGAGACAAGACTCCAATATGGGTGGACAACAGCCAGGTCTGCAGAAAATGAGAAGACTGAATATAAATAAAGAATAATGTGTAGGAGGAGGATATGGAGAAGGATTCTGGTCCAATGTCTTGTGTGGAAGCTTTTCATGATTTGAGATCATCAGCTTATTCTGAAGGTCTTAGGTCACCTGTCTTCTTCAAGATCTCAGCTCACTGCAATCTTGGCCTCCCAGGTTCAAGTGATTCTCCTACCTCAGCCCCCCAAGTAGCTGGGATCACAGGCATGTGCCACCATGCCCAGCTAATTTTGTATTTTTAGTAGAGATGGGGTTTCTCCATGTTGGTCAGGCTGGTCTTGAACTCCCTACCTCAGGTGATCCGCCCACCTTGGCCTCCCAAAGTGACAGGATTACAGGCATGAGGCACTGCACCTGGCCTCTTAATTTTTATTCATATGTTCATTCAGCAGCCACTATGTCTTCCCACTGATTTCTTCGCTTTCCTCTTTACTGCCTTTTCTTTTTGAATAAGGTTGTCACTCCTGAGGGAAGATGGGAGGTGGGCCTGGACAGGGATTTGCTGCATCCCTCTGTCCCCTCCCAGTTCTGATTGGTTTCTCCAGTGTCTGTAGAAGAGCAGTTTTGATGGCTTTACCTCTGCAGATAATTTCTCTTGCAAGGTGGTAGTGGTGATGGGGAGGTGTGTCTGGATGCATTTCAGCTGTAGTTGCTGTTTTGCTTTCCCAGACTGCACCGTCCCAAGGGGTAGAGGCTGGAGCATTTTGTGATGTGTCCCCAGGACTGAAGAAAAAGGTTCAAGAGCAGGAGGAATTCCTCAACTGTATACACTCTGAGAATTTAAACAATAACTTCACTATCACACAGAATTGAAACCATCCAATGAATATGTCTACTTTAATCTTGTGCTAGCTTAAATGACATTTGGCAGCCTCTGCCCCAGAAAAGATTATCGTCTGTTCCTGTTTATTTCCCTGCAAGTCTTTATCGCTCTTCAGAGTTCAGATACATTGTTTGTCTTATAACGTGAAAACTCTGATGTGTTTAAGAAAATGTGCTAATTTGCAGATCAGTAAGTTTAGTTGTTGTTGTAAGAATAATAACATATTTTTGTGGGATGCCTACATCTCCAAGCTGAGTAGCACCTCTGTGTGTAATACTCAGAAACTAGAAATGATACAATATCAAGAAGATACATAGATAAACAGTAATGGCATGCTAAGTTATTGTAATAACATCCATCATTAGAATCAATACATTGTTGATGCACAACATGTTTGCATCAGAAGTAGTTATGACAAGCGAGAAGACACACAAATAAAACACATACTATATAATTCCTG